GTCCAACAGGAGCCACCACTCTACCTTGGCTCCGTACGAGAGAATATTGCCCTTGGTCTCCAACACAAGCCTTCCGACGCCGAGATTCAAGAAGCCTGTCGCCAAGCCAATGTCCTCGAGTTCGTCGCTTCGTTACCCGAAGGTCTAGAAACACCCTGCGGGTCTAAGGGCTTGCAGTTCTCCGGCGGGCAAAGACAGCGCATCGCGATCGCAAGGGCGCTCATTCGCCAGCCACGATTGCTGCTGTTGGACGAAGCGACATCAGCGTTGGATACTCAGAGTGAAAGGATCGTGCAGAAAGCACTCGATGAGGCTGCGATGTCGAGGACGACGATTGCCGTCGCGCATAGGCTGTGAGTACATCCATGTGGAGATACAGGATGATCGATCACTGACATTGCATACAGGAGCACGATTCGACACGCAGATGTTATCTTCGTTATGGAAGATGGCATTATCGCCGAAATGGGTACTCATGAGGAACTGCAAAGATTAAGAGGAAGGTATTTCGCTACGTGCTTGGCGCAGTCGCTCGACCAAGCATGATTTGATACTTATAATACGAGGCTTTTCAACGCATGCAGATCGTCGCGATACACGTGAAGTCAGAATTTCTAAGGCGATTGTAATTGGCCGACGCGGTCCTTCTCTTTGACGAGAGCTAATTCGCATGTTCAGACCTACTAGTCCGCTCCCGTTTCTACAGTCGCCCCGCCTCGCCTAGTGTTTTGCTGAATACAGCAAGCGTTCAGCGGTCGGGAGTATTACCATACATCAAGTTGGCACCTACATTGACTGCCATGGTTACTCTCACAGAGCACTCAACGATATGTCTTCCTTAACCCGGAAGTCCGAGCTTTCGCTGCTCGCCATGCCAACCAATGATCGGCCATCCTTCAGGGAGAGTTGCGAACGGAGGCAGTTCGTACCGGCCATGGCAAGCGCCACTAGTGCACTTCAGGTTGCACAACCCAAGCATTTTGCAATAGCACACACTCGCATTGGGGCAGTGAATAGGGTCTTGCCCAAATATTACTACAAGAATTAGTACACTGGGAACTCCATGACCAGGGTGGGGTATCTTACTATGCCAGGAATACTCCATAATCCTTCCACTGATTGAGTCTTCCAAGGTTGTCCTCAGCAACAAATTTCGAATGCGCTCATAGTATTCAACCGGTTGTTCCTGTATCTTTTCCTTCGTAGCAGCGAATTGCGCGCAGCAAGAAACACCAACTGCCATTGGAATGTCGCGACCTGGGAAGATCACTTCAAAGGCTTGTTTGTAGAAATGACCCGCATGAGGCTGAGTGTGGGCTGCGTCTACTGCATCTGTGAGTGGGCGAATCTCGTTCGGGCAACCCAGAACCCATACACAGCGCAGGTTGAGATACCCTTTTTCCTGTAGGTAGGAAAAGCGAAACTTTCGCAGGATCGACAGACCGTCATAGTCGGGATCGTCGTTGTGCCATTGGTATCTCTCCGCGTGGAGAAAGAGAATGTTTCCTGGCAATTTGTGATAGTTGTCGATGATGAAGCTATTTCAGAGTCAGTCCTTGCATAGCAAACGACATAATCGCGTAGGGTTGTATTCATACGAAAGATACACCATCGATTCACGACCCTTGTTCAACGGCACCGTGAGCTCGGCGGTTGGATCGTCCACCACATAGACATATTTGCGCCACTCTGGAAGCTCATCGTAGAACCAAGACGTGTTCTCATGCTTCATGGAGGCGACGACTAGGGCCTTATCGAACGGGCCTTCGTTAAGAGCGATGCCGCCATAAGGTTCATCGGGAACATTGGAGCTCAGTTTCCAGAAAGTCAGAACGGATAGGAGTACGAGACACGTAGCGATGAAAGGAGTTCGGATCGGTCGGCGGAACGCGGGCATGACGTTGGCGTAGAGCCTCATGATGGAGTTGAAGATGGATGAAGAAGGAACGACGCACAAGTGCGAAATCTTATTTCATCCCTCGAGGCATCAGCAGCAGCAGCACATGACTGTGGTGTACTTTGGTTGTTGAGATGAGATTTTACTAAGAACCATGGTTGCGATGCACTGGAGCCAGGGCTCACATTGGACACGTGATGGCGTAGAGTCTGCTCAAGGCTCAGGGCATGTGTGAGTGATATGCGCGGAATCATTACCACAGTTAATATTGCGGACGTGTCAGCAGCAGCTGAGAGAGTTCAGTTCCGGCCCCCAAAGTCATACCGCCGCCAATTACAAGGATGGTTAGCCTCTGGCCCCGATCTCGGCTCGACGTGCATTAGCGTGATGAAAGATCGACCAGACGACAACAACACGCTGCGACACATCTTCACGCACACAACACGACTGATGTAGCCGCGAGAGCGCTACTTCGACAGATTCTAAAAACGATAATAACAAGTCACGCCGGAGCTTCACAACCGGCTCTGATGTTCATTAACCTCGAGTCGCCAGACTGAGCGACGTGTTTCGTGGCGCCTCCGCTCAAATTCAACATGTGGCAAATCGACGCCATAAGCCACCCATAGTCCAGGAAATCGTCACTATCTTGTTTCAGCTGCAGCCACAACGAGACTTACTCCTATTACTGGAGGCCTTGCCGTGGGGCCAACGTGCTCTTGGCATGATAACACACCTACGAGACAGACCGCCCTCCCCCTCTCTTCTGAGCGCAACGATGATGGCGAAGCATATGTATTGGAAAGTCGCGGACTAACCCATCGATGTCTTGCAGCATGTGTATTTGCATATCTTTCGAGAAGGATTGGAAGAAACTACGAGCATGAGGCTAAGCGCCAGGCTGCCTGACAGCCTCAGGCCGAACCTCAGGACGCTTAGCCAGTAATCCACATGCGCGCTGTAAGGCCCCCACCCTAAGATGGGCGATAGCCACTGCAATTGGTCTCAATATCGACCGCAGCACAATGGCGGTGCACGGCCTTTCAGCACACTATTCTCATAAGATCAGATCTGGGCCTCGCTCGCGTGTTTGTACGTCTCTACCAAACCATTCTCTAGACGCGTACCGAATTGTTACCTTCGGCCTTCAACACCAAATCCGCTTGACCGATGGCTGGCTCGTTCATCACGGTCTCGCGATGGGTCTTCTTCCTGTTCTGCCTTACTACGGTCACTTTTGCGCATACACTCAATAAGCCCCCGACACGAGCACTCGACCTTCGACCAAGAACTTCCCCCACACCACAGGAAGCTGCACTGAACATCAAGCGCGCCCTCAAGCAAGGACTCGAAGTCTTCAAACGCGATGTATGCGAAGATGCGTTTCCAGGCGAAGGCGCAGTAACAAATACATGCAACCCCAGCAATACGCTCTGCTGTATCCGAAAGGGAGAAAGCTACCCCCAGTGCCAAAACCTCCTCAATAAGGGATGGTGCTGCATCGACAATCCCAATAGCGAGCCTGGCTGTTACGTCGACCAGCCATCTGTCTGTGAAGAAGCCGACTCGGTGCCATGCGCTAACCTTGAGGTTGGCGTAGACCAAGCATGCTGTCCAGGCCAGACTACATGCGCGTCGGGCTACAAATTCACCGAGAAGTTTGTACGCTGCCAGATTCTCTCGGCTGACCTCGTGTCACTTGCCAGCGCCAGCGCCGCTCCAACAAGTAGCTCGAGTATTGAGCCAAGCTCCGCATCGCCAACGTCCGAAATTACCTCGTCTGCGTCAGACTCAGCATCATCAACACCCTCTTCCGCCCCTGCTACAGCATCAGACGTCCTATCCAACGCAGCATCGAGCGCCATACCGCCACCTCCGTCTAGCAATTCGTCTTCGTCTTCCTCGTCCTCCTCCTTGTCAGGCGGAGCTATCGCGGGTATCGCCATTGGACCGACACTGGCGCTGGTAGTCGGCGTAGGCCTATGGTTTCTCTACAAGCGTCGACAGAAGAAGAAGATGCAGCAACCCTACGCTCCGGCAGTGATATACCAAGACGCGTACCCAAAGGCCGAGTTGGCTTCTGAGCCTGTCATTCCTGGGCCCTACAAATATCAACATGCTGCTGCCGAGCCACCTCAGGAGATGCCTGTTCAGTATACCTACGAGCTCGACGGCGGGGCTCATCGCGGGCCGTAGAAGAGGGGTAATGCTGTTGCGAGGACGCGCTTCTCTTTTTAATGTCCATGGCTGCGGCGACACCCGAAATTCACGCCGTCATGCACTGTAGCCCCGTGTAGACGAGGGCACGCTGGCTTTGTACTCTCATGTTTAGATGTCTCGTATTCTTAATTTACTTACCTCATTCCACCTGGAAATCTTCAGTTACCTGCACACCGCCATCCAAAGCCAGTATCTCCTCGCGTATAAGTCGTATGAAATTCGGAAGGTGTGGTTGGCTCGTCGTCTCTGGGTCGCCTCTGGGCATCGCAGTACCATGGGAAGATGATTATCACGCTGTCAATCGGCTTCGTGTTGACTGGTGTGAAGAGTGAAAGTGAATTAGACGTGCCTTCCTCGTTGCCTGTGGCTCGTACCCGAAGAGCCTCCAGAGCTCTTGCCTCCTACCTCTCGCGTCCACACCACACCAACTTTTGTTCGAAATCTGCCAAAAAATCGCAAAAATGCGAGGACGCGGCAACCATCCGCAGGGCTTCGGCCAACGTCAAGTGCCGACAGGACCTCGACGAGGGAGCTACAATGCGCCATCTGGAGCACCTCGCGGCAGAGGTGGCTACAGTGCCAACCCCAGTGCCAACGGGTACAACGATGGGTCTGCCCATGGCAATGCCAGTGCCAGTGCCAATGCCAATAACAATGCCGACAACGGTCAGTATAGGCTGAAGCTCGACGTCATGTACTACCTTCGGCCCCACGACTGCGTCGACCAGCTGGAGATTCCGGCCGGCTCTGGAATGAGCCGCAAGGACACGACCTGCCTGCATTGTGGAGAAACAAACATTTTCGGGCATGGCTCGTATCATTTGCTCCGCGACGGCTCTTGCCCTCGTCGCTGCTGCCGTTGTGGAACCATGAACCACCAAGGATGCGTAAGTCTTCTCCCCTATTTTGAGGTCCATCAGATGCTGATGCTCGATAGCTTTGTGACCGATATTGGCTCTCTGCTGCCTTCCTGAAGCGTGCGTGCCCAAGCGAAGGGATGCGTAGGCCCAGGCAAACTCGCCCATCGCCACTCGATTTGGAGGTCATTCGACGCGACTACCCAGAGTACCGCGAGTTTGCCGATAGCGTGCTGCCGCTTGTCGACAAAGGACACTACCATCCGTCACAGCAGGTGCCCAAGCGCTCACGGGGTGACGACGACGAACAACCGGAGCCGAAGCGATCACGGACTGATGCCGGTGGTGCCGAGATCGATAAGATGAGGGCGGACATGGATGCTCTCCGGGCCGAGAATGAGCGGCTCAAGACTGAGAACAAGCAGCTCAGGGCTGAGAATGAGAGGCTCAGGGATGCGAGTCGTACTTCCGCTCCTTTCGTCAAGAAAGAGGAAGTCGACGAGGATGGTGTCGAGACTCTTAGCGAAGAGTTCGACAGACTCGTTGAAGAAGAGCTTGCTCGAATAAGTCGGTGAGGTGGATGCCAGTGAGGATTATCTCGGCAAGGCTGTGCATTATCCGGAGGGCTAAGAGGTGACGGTGTCGTCGTCTTGTAAGAATCGCTCGCGAGGGCCCCTCGCGAGTAAAGCACCCGTGAGAAACGCTCATGGGGAAGGGGAAGAGAATGGTACGGGGACGATGGCTTCATCGTCCTTAGGGATGCCCTAGGTGATGTTGGACATAACTGCACTGTGCCTTGCCGCCCACAACATATGAATACATGGAGATAGCAACATCGATGAGCGTGATCGTATCGATTTATGACTAATCTGTATGCTACCTTTGGCTTTCATAACCTTGCGTATGAAGATAACTCAACCTGTGATCCATCTTACCGACGCAGTTCCTAGACCTGAGATATAAGGGCATGCATCGCTGATGAGACAGAACTATCCGGGTCTCGGCACCCTGGAATGGTGTACTGCACACTCACCCCGTGTTGCAGATTGACCGGGTAGGCAGGCACGCCACTCTTTAGCTCCGTAGCAGACAAACAGGGTTTGGCACAGTTCCCTAACCAGAACTGGCAGTTATATCTCCAGTTATGTTCCTTGTGCTCAACGAATCGTGCGGCCTGCTTCGTGATTTGGATGGCATCATGGGAAGTGGTGTGTGGGAGAAGAGTTGGTGGGCGTGGTGCGACTTCCTGCCCAAATCACCATAGCTACGTCAACGTGTCGTCCGATTTTTCGTGCCTGCCCTCACGAGCATGATTACCAAGTAGCGCGCACACATCATCACCTCAGTCAATCTGTCACTGCAACTGCAAGCCTTGACACCTCACATCAACAACATGGCGACCAACCTGCCTGAGGTGCCCGACGCACCCAACGTGTTTCTTGAAGCACTGCAAGACGAAGAGATTGCCGATATGCTTCAATACGAATGGAACCGACGTAGAGTGAAAGGAAGTCGACCTGCCATGCACCAGGAACGTCTGCGGGTTCGTTCCATTGCCGCTTCAACTGGTCTTGCTGCCGATACAGAAGAGTCAGCAACTGGTAATTAACTCACCAATTTTGGAATGAAGGCAGAGGTACTAACACTCCAAGAAGATCCTGCCGTACCTCGAAAGACACTGCCAACGAAGGGCGTAGGGAAACGGCGAGCCAGTGCCGAACACTCTTTGAGCAAGCGAGCAAAACGTCGATCACGCCGCTCTCGAGAAGGCGAGTGCCCGTTCGCCAGCGATGCCGAACCCGAAAGCTCCGTGCCTGCGACTGCCTCTTCGGAACTTCATGCCAAGGAATACCCCATCGCAATACTGCTGCCTATTCAGGATGGTCGCAACGTCGTCATACGCAACGGCATTCCTGCTCAGCTCACGAAACTGCTTCGCGATGAAGTCAAAAAATGCCTTACGACCAAATTCTGCATCAGAGCTTGGAACGATGCCGACCATGAAGATAACGCTCTTTGCATGCTCACCGCGGCCTATGGATTTATCCGCTCCTATCTTGTCCCGAAGGGTCAAGGGGCGTCCAGAGCGTGCGTTGTCTGCTGCACAAGTCCCGGAGAGAGCGGCCCAATCGCCCCAAGGCCTTGCGTCATGCTACGGGCGGATGCAAAGGGGGAGTACATACTGGCCCTGCCCTTGCCAGAGGATTTGCGAGTGGGTAAGGGGTGGAAGGAGAGGGGTTTCTGGGTGAATGAGACGCCCCAAGCTCCTGCACCCCGAGCTTTTGCACCCCGGTTCGATGCGTTGCGCACGCGAAGTGGGCACAAGGACCGCAGCGATGGTGGCCGTATGGTTGAGCGCCGCGCCGGAGGCTTCGAGCTTGGCTGACGGATCTGATGTGCCCGTCGCGGAAAGACTTGCCGGCAGAGGTGCTGTAGAAAGATGGTAATTCCAGGGCACGTTCGATGGATTCATCGAACGGCGTGGTTCATACGTGATGGAATCATCACGCGTTATGAGAGGACTTGATGGCGTCGTCAAGCGGTAATTCCGATCGATGGATTCATCGATCAGGTTCGTTAGATAGTTCAGGCGTTGCCTTTGCCAATACTATACACCGATATCTCATCATTTCTCACTCCATATGTCGTGTAACAGTTTCATGAACGCTCAGGTACGTAGCTAAGAATATTAAGACTGCCACGCATAGAAGCTTACATAGTCTGTGCGATTCCTAGTCTGGCATGATGGCAAGAGGCAGCGCGAGAAGAAACCTCACTATGAAGGTGTTGAAAATATGGTGTATGCTTTTACCCTCCCCGCGTTTCGCGATATGCTGTAATGATTATGATATCTGTTTTATTTTAGTACGCTGAAACCCATCATGGCTCCTTTTCGTTTCTTCATTGGACAATTTGGACGTCTCCAGTGCTCATAGCTTGAACGATGCGTTTCCTTTGGAAGAGGACGAGCAGCAGACATTAGCAATGGGTGAACGCTTTTTGGTTTTGTAGCATAGAACGCTGGTTGTAGGGAAGGTAAAAGCAAAGGCGGGTATTTATATTTCTCTGGAAGGATAGGCAGCTTACCGAGTTCTGCTTCTCTCATAGCCTGTTTACTTTTCTTTTCGGGACACTGGGAGAAAGGAGCATGGTAAAGCGCGAGGCCGGGTTTGATGCTTGTGGAACAAATAGAGATTTGATGAAGCGAGCTGCAGCATATAGGCATGAATTAAGAACTTCAGATCTACTCGTCATAAGTCGTGCGAAAGCGTGTTTGGTACCGCCATCTCAAACTCATGTAATAGTTAGACGGAGCTTTTGGAAAAGAGAGAAAGGACATGGATTCGACTGTGTACTATTTGATTGCACCCAGGAACGAGTGTGATATGTGAAGAATTAAGGCAAGGAAGTAGCAGACTTTTATACCCCTTCAGACCAGCCGCCAGTCATACAACCTGGGTTGCGACGTTTCAATGAAGTTTCGTTCCGCTCACCGTCTGCGACATATGGGGTGCATGGTGCCTTTTCTCGTTCTTCCGACAAGAGACATCCGTTGTTTTTCCCGCCGATTTCAGTGAGACGCGGTGCCGGCGATCTCATCGAAGAAGTGTCCGTGGCTTTTGGAAGAAAGGAGCGAGTCGCGACATAACGACTTCGTCGAGATTTTTTGGTACCGCCAGCGCTTGTCATAGAAGATTAGGTTGTATGTTTTTCAGAACAACAGCACATAGAGATTCAAGCTTGTATTTTTGGTCGCGAAGATTGAATGCTGCACATTCTATGCAATCTCCGAGGTTTTGATAATGTCGCAGACGGATACCCCAGCCATGTTGTCATGCCCTGTATCTTTTATTGGGGGAGGAAAGTCATTGGTCGACGTTTTACTTGTTTTGGTAATCACCCCGCTGGAAGTGAGGATATAGAAGAGAAGGAGACCGGGAGGAGGACGAGAGCTTTTATATCGACCGCGCGCGACGAGAACAAGCCATGCAATTTGTCTCATTTCATTTTGGGTGTCTCATCGTACAATGACAAGGGTTTTGGTTGACACACATGTCACGTACACGTGAAGATTTTGCACACCCTTCACATACCATGTGCCCTTGCGCGATTGAGAATGAAACGCTGTAGTCTGTGTTGCGACACATGCAGTAATAGCTTCAACCTTTCGATTAAACACCCCAGGAAACTTCTCAGTCATGAAAGACTTCCATAGTGTTTTGGAAAAAGAGACAAACATGCAGCGAGGTCCTCGGTGTTTTTGGAAAAAACCAGTAAAGGCTGTGGGAAGTGTAGAAGAGAAAGCATAACGAAAGCTGTGGCTATCTATATGCTCTCAGGACTGGCGCTCAGACCATGCCGAACATTCCCTTGTTAGGCGAGCATGACTTTGATGCTGGACGGACCCAGAAGAACGAACATGGAGTCCAGGCACTTTTATCTTGAAAGCTCTACCATGTGGTAGTACTTTACAGTTTTGAGGAATACAGCGACGATAGTTCCCTTTTTCACACACGCACAGAGATCATATGGCCATCTTGGTGTTGTTTTGGAAGTCGCAGTCGCGCAACATGAGATCTTTGATGTCAGGGCTTAGACGACCCCTTTGGGGAAAAGAAAGCGTTCTTCTCAGACATGACTGTACGCAATTTCTGTTTCTGGAAGCACACACGCATGTGGCATGCCGGGAGATCTTTCTGGATTTGAGGAGACACGAGTCGTGCCACATACGAAGATGTCGAGTGGTTTTCAGACTGTGAGTGTGGAACAGGCGGAGTCTTTCTCCGCCCACATAGAATATTCGCTCTCGTCTTTTGATCTTAATTGGAGGAATTTGGAGAACGAGACAAAGAACCATTTCCTGAGCGATAGTTTTATTTTCGAGTCCATCGTCGTGACTGTTGCTTGCTTTCACAGAACATCACGGGTATGTCGTGAGATTTCAGTCTTCTTCTCCACACATCCGTGGTTCCTCTCCTATTTTGGTCCAACACCACAGCACAGTCATGTCGGGGTTGCGTGAGCGGTCTCTTTTTTGGGAGTCGCAATCGCGGAACATAACGTGAAATGTGTAATTTTTGAATCGGAAGTCTGGATGTGCGAAGTGCGGAGATCGTCTCGGCTATCCCGTTGATGGCTCGACGCTTTTGGAAGAGAGAACGCACATGGAGGGCTGCGTACAATACTTTTTGAGAAACCCAAGGAAGAGGTATGATAAATCAAGAAGGAAGAGAGCGCAGGACGTCGAAGCTTTGTACCCGCCGGTTCAGCTAGCGGCTTGCGAGGCAAGGAAGCGCCAAAATCATCCCGGGCTGGTTACGTTCTTTCTGGTTCTCCGTGATGGAAGTCGCCTGCGATCTTTCCGAACATATAGCGCCCTTCTCCGACTTTTCGAAATCATCACGAGAGCCAGCGGCGGTTTTGATATGGCAGAAGTCCGACAGTCTTCCCACTCATGTACTATGCGTGTCCAATTTTTGGAAGAGAGACAGCACATGATCCACCATTCAAGTGTTTTTGGTAATTCGGAATTGGAAGTGTGATGCAGGAGACATGCTCAGTCAAGCTCCAGATTTTATACACACGGACAAGCTGCCAGCAAGGACGGTAGTGGTGTGAACGAAGAAACCAGCGCCGGAATGCATGAATATGTCGCCGTTGTGTTTTCTGTTCTGACTTTTCGGAAGTCTCTGCTCCTCTCTTCTCCAACATCACGAATCCGGACCAGTGTTTTGAAAAGAAGGAGCGAACGCCATGAAGATCTTCGCCAGTCGTTTTGCACGGCGGATGTAGACATGACCAACAAAAGTATGCGATTTTGGAAGAGGAAGGAGGAGGCAGCTCATAAGAGTGTTGTGGTGTATTTTTGGAAGAAGGAGAGACAGGTCATGTTTTGCCGAAACCCATTTTTTGGAAAACGGTAGAAGATGAGTGGTGAAGAAGAGAAGGGGAGCAGATGCGTGAGATGAACTTATATAGCCGACGCGAATATGGGACGATCCGCGGACCCTCAGAGCTACATGCACGACACCAGGAAAATCTTCGAAGAAATAGTACATGCTCGGTGACTAATGAATTTGTTACATACCAATCATTTCCCCAGCATAGATTCACCTCTCCACCTCAACCTCCTACCGATGCCGCAACAGCCTCCCCACTTTCCTCAACCCTCCTCTTCTTCTTCCCATGATGCCCCCTAGCCTCGACCCTCCCCTCAACCGGCACCACCCTCGTAGCCGTAAAAAGATACCCCTCAGCCCCACCCTTGCTCGTCATCATAGGATGCGTCCTGCCGGGAAGAACCTGCCACTGCCTTGCTCTTGCCGTCTGCAGACTGGGTGCGAGAACCAATGTAGGGTTAAGCGGGAAGTCGTCTTCTTCGTTGTCGGCTTCGGATGTACCTGCTGGGGTATCGACGTCCTCTTCGATCTTGACTCGTTTGCCGTTGGTGTTGCTGGTACCGTTGCCGTTGATTTGCGGCGGAGGCCCAAACTCGCGGGCTATGTACGCCGCGCGGCGTTCTTTCGAGTAAAGATCGCACAACTCAACCAACGGCTCAACATTAGGATTATACACCACAATCCTGCCTCCACCCTTGACAAGCGGCACCAACTCCCTGAGCACAGTCTTCGCATCCATCGCCGTCGCCACAACCAACCCATCAAACCCTCCCCTCTTCGTCTCATCCACCACACTCTTAACCCTTTCCCAGCGTCTGCGCTTCTTATAGTAAGTACCGCGTTTCGTTGACTTCATGCTCGCAAGGACTTCCTCAGAAATTATCTCGGGCTCGTCGTACGAAGGGTCGTCTTCGGGGTGGAGGAGGGCGAGCCAGGAGAGCGATTTGAGGTGTTTGTAGAGGGGGTGGGCGGGCGTGGGGTTCCCGTAGTCGTAGCCGAAGTATTTTAGGTAGGAGAGGTTGGGTTGGTTGTTGGGGTGCAGGACCGTGAGGGTGTTTGTTTGGGCGGACATTTGCGGGATGTGTGGTCGTGGGGGTTTTCGCGGGCGGGGAGGGGGATCTGAAGCGGTGGCTGTGGGGTCTGTGGTTGTTGTGGTGTCGGCGTCGGGCATGGCAGTGTCTGTGTCTTTGGGCTCTGGGGCGGAGGCTGGGGCTGGTGTGCCGTTCATTTCGACGTCAGCTGCCTCTTCTTCTGACGATGAGTCGTCGTATTCTTCCTCCGGGTAGAGAATGCCCATCTTCTCGGCGAGTGCTGCTGTGACAAGCCCTCCGGTGTCATCTACTACGAGCCACCGTCCTCCTCCTACCTGGCTGACTCCATCTTCCGCCATGTGAATCTGATTTGTCGCTCCCGAGTGTATGTTTGCCCAGCTGTTGATCAAGCCCAGTAGATCTTCCCTCAGCTCCATGATCTTGTATGCCTCCTTCTCCAGAACATACTCTGTGAGTAGACCAACATCCATGGGCAGGGCAGTGAAGCGCTTCAAGTACTTCTTCGACTTCCGCAGAGTGTACTTGGCCAGCGAAAAGCTCGTCTTCTCGTCGATCGCGTTGTGGGAGGCCATAATCTTGGCGATGATTTCCTTGCCAGAGCCGGCGCCTGCCTTCTTCAGCTCCTCTATTTCAGCCATTGATAGCGCCTGCCGTGAAGCATCGTCAACGGTCAAGCGGTTGTTGCGCATGATGACCTGCCCATCCTCTCCCACAATGTCGAAGCCCGTAGCACCCGCAGCACCCTCGGCAGTCTCTTCGCTGGTTTCCGCAGCAGGCGCATGATCGCTGCCTAGAGCTTCGGCGTGAAGTTCGGAAGCGGGAACGACGCGCAGCTCCGTCTTGGATTTGCCATCGTCCTTGTCGAGCAGTTCGTAGGTGAGATAGTACGGGCGGCCGAGGAGGAGGTTGGAGTTGAAGGTGCCGAACTTGCCGAGATTGATGCTCCTGTGGGGTGTTTAGAAGAGATTCTCAAACATATGCATACGGAGGGCTCACTCCAGCTATGCGACGTACGTATTCGGTGTGATCTCGACTATCTTGAAGAGGCCTGAGGGCAGTCGTAGCGCAACGTGCGTATTGGGGCGGACGTGGGAATGCATGGCGCGAATGTAGTCGCGGCACTGTGTTGGTCACTATTCCATGTGTAGTTATGGTCAATAGTCTTAGTATGGTATCTCAGTCCCGAGTTCTGCACGCGCAAAGGTGAGGTGGAGCTAGTGAATTTGTCGCAAGGAATAGTTCCGAGGCGCACCGCCGCGTCTTACTCAGCCACAGGCTCAGCCACACACTCGCACCAGTCGTACGTCATCGCCATCGCGACTTCTGCTACTTGGGCGTGTCACTCGGGTCCAACACGTCGCTTACGTCGACTACTTTGCTTCTTTCGCTGGAGTCCTGCTTCAATATCAATCCCCTTCACCCGCCTTCCTCATATTACCGCGCCGCGCCGACTGTCGCGACAACTCCCCCATATCCCACACCAAGCCCCAGGGCACTGCACCGTAAACATGGTGCTACGAAAGTCCGACGAAGCCGACGACGTCGTTCCAGCGCCGCTCTCCAAGGCGATCCCCCCGTATCCCACGACACCCTCCGACGAGCACCCGCCTGCCTTTCCCGTGTCGCCCGAGCGTGCCGTGGACCCGCCCAGTACGAGCAAGTCGCCAGCGTTCAACATCAAGACGCCAGAGGAGACGCGACTTCCCGACGATAAGCACGAGAGCGACTCGGATCTGAGCGAAGACGAGTGGAACCAGTCGGATGATGACTTTGAAGACATCAACCACAACGATGTGCCTGCCGCCCTGAAGCCGGCTGCTGGAAAAAGGCCACCTGTGCCAAGTACTACACACATCACCAGCGGCCTTCCCGATGCTTTGAGGCCAGGGCCGCCAGCCGGTATCCCTATCAAGCGCTCGCAGGAAAGCATCTCTGCAACGCCCACCGGTGCCAGCGCGGCTTCCTACGGCGCGGCCAGCACCGTGTCCGAGCAGTCGAATGGCTCCATCCCGCTGAAGACCAACAACCCATACCTGAAGATGCAGACGACTGGGCAGAGTAGCTGGGACGGAGAGAGCAGCCAGGCTATCTGGGGCGATGCGCCGAGCCACGCCCACAAGTACGAGGCGCCCGTCGAGCTCCCGGCCTTCCAGACGCCAAGTACACCCACCCACGACATGAAGAACCTCGGACTAGATGACCATGCCCCGTCTGCGCAGTCGACAGCACCAGTAGAGCCGCCTGTCATTGCCGTGAACTCACCTACACCTCGGTCGGAGCACCCAGACACCTCTCTCGATGCGAATCCATGGGAACCCGCCTCGCACGATGCTCGTACTGACACTGTACCCTGGACGGCACCGCCAAGCGATGCAGCTGTCCGAAATGAAAGCTCACACAACATTCCCGCCCCAATCATTCCAAATGCGAATATTGCAGAGCAATCGTCTCTTCCACCTCAATACACGCCCGAGCAAACACCACCCTCCTCCGAAGAACCTCCACCTGCGCTGCCGCCAAGAAGGTCGCACGAGGACATGGCGCCTGCAATGCCTCCTAGACCTATCGACACAGGTATCGGTTCGTCCGCTCCTCCTGCCTTGGAATCGCCCAATACGACAATGGAGAGGCAGAGGAAGGAACACTACCAAATCAAGCACATTCGCTGGCTTGACCACACCATCGAGGACATGCGCGTTTCGCCCATCTTGACGCAGAACCTGAACGGCCCCTGCCCTTTGCTGGCTTTGGTCAACGCACTAGTCCTTTCGACTCCTGCTAGGCTTGACACTGCACTTGTCGAGACATTGCGCACACGTGAGACAGTCAGCCTGGGACTGCTCCTTGATGCTGTTTTTGACGAGTTGATGTCTGGTCGACGTGGAGATGCTGCACAAGCCTTGCCCGACGTGAGCGAGTTGTACAAGTTCCTGCTCGCCCTCCACACAGGTCTCAATGTCAATCCCATGTTTGTCCCAGACTCCAACACCCCGGATGCACAATCCACACTCACGAGCCGAGCTGGCGCTTTTGAGAACACCCAAGACATGAAGCTGTACCGCACTTTCAACATCCCACTGATGCACGGATGGCTGCCCGAGGCTGGATCCGACGCTTATGCTGCGTTTAGTCGCGTAGCAGCGTCATATGAAACATCGCAGTTTGTTCAGTTCCAGGAAGAAGAGCTGAATGCGAAGCTGGGGGCGGGGGAGTCTCTGAACGAGGACGAGCAACAGATGTTTACGGATATCCACGCCATCAAAGAGTTCTTGATGCGATGGCCAACACAACTGACTGACCACGGTCTAAAGGTCATTCGCGATAACCTCCAGCCCGGTCAAGTCGCCATCCTGTTCCGAAACGACCACTTCTCGACGCTCTGCAAGAACCCTCGCAACGGCGAGCTCGTCACTCTCGTCACAGACCAGGGCTACTCCACCCACGACGAAATTGTCTGGGAGTCTCTCACTGACGTCAATGGTCAAGGTAGCCAGCTCTTCTCCGGCGACTTCCGCTCCGTCGACAACAGCAACACCTCCGGCCCACAAGACCAGCACCAACCTTCCAGCGTCGACAACAGCCAAGGCTGGACCACCGTCCCCGCCCGCCGCGGCAACCCCCAATCCGCCATCCCCCAAGACACCTCCGCCACCTCCCCCGAAGCCCTCAGCCGCGCCGAACAAGAAGACCACGACCTCGCCCTAGCCCTCCAACTCCAAGAAGAAGAAGAAGACCGCGAGCGCCGCGAAACAGAACAACGAAACACCCGCAACAACCAACTCTCCATGGATGCCATCAATGCTCCTCCCCAGCCACCGCGGAACCAGCAGAACCCGGTCATCCCGCCCCGCCGTAACAATAATATTACGGGGCATAGACCTGCTGGTGAGGCGGCGCCGCCGCCGTTGTACGAGGAGGCTATTACGAGTCCGCAATATGTGCCTCCGGCTGGGCATCCGGCGAGTGCGCAGGCGCCGGTGCCAGGGCAGGGCGGGAGTGCGTATCAGAGTACGAGTGGCGGGTTGCCGGCGCTGCCTGGCGCGGGGAGGGGCAGGCATGGTAATGGTTTGCCTGGGAGGATGGGGGGAGGGAGGAGACAGAGTCAGGGGCAGCAGGGACAGGGGCAGGGGCAGGAGGAGAGGGATAAGTGCGTTGTTATGTAGACGCGCTCTTCCCTTTTCCCTTCTTCCTTGCGCCGATCTAGGAGCATGTGGTTCGAGATGGCACGACTTTGAGACTATCTGCTGACATGTCATATTAGAGATTCGGATGAGGTGCCGTGTTCGTGGTGTACGGTTAGTTAGTATCCGTTGTGAGCGCGGAATTTGGGCTGTGGTATCTAGATGTTGTTGTGATGGTGATCACGGTGATGACTTGGGCGTTTGATGGTGTTGGAATGTTTATATACCCGTTATTCCTTCTGCTTTTCGTAGTACGCGGTCGGTAGGGGTGTTTGTTGCATCGAGCTGGGAGCAGTATTGTTAACCCGAAATTCCTATGCGTCACTTCACCAATCTCCAAAAAGATTCTGTTTTACGTGACATGTCAAACTATCATCACTTTATTCATCCATCAAACTATGCACGCCATGAGGCTTTATACTGGATCTACGAACCACCGATCTGCCTCGCTCTCTCCCTCCCCTCCATCCTTTTCAATTCTTCATCCCACTCCTCTTCTTCTTTACTCTTCACACTCTGTCCACTACTTTTACTCCACATGCGAGTGTGTTGGCTTCCAGCTCCAGTTTTACCGCCACGGGACTGAATGGCTTCTTGGAGTAAAGTTGCTTTACTCACGCTCACAGTCGGACTCCTCTGCTTTTCAGTCTCATTCTCATTCCCCCCGATGGAGGAGGACGATAACACAACATCCCGTTCTCGCCCCTGTCCCTGCCGTTTAACCACCTCGATAAACGATAAAGACGTGGGTACAGCAGAAATCTGACCCAACTGCCGTTCATAAGACGTAGTACCCTGTCTGTTATACCTCCCCCCCTCCATCCCTCTCATCCCCATCCCCTCACCAGCCGTCGGCCGCGGCGCCGGCGGCCTCATATTACAGTACGGCATTGGTGGAGGAGGTGGTCGGTTTGGTCGGTTTGGTGGTGGTGGGCGGCGCGGTGGCTCAAGCCGTAGCGTCGATAGTGCAGACATCTTGATCGGTGCGTGTGTCGGTGATAAGGAGGACGTACGCTGGGGGTGTATCGGCGTAGTCGGTCTTGGTGTCCTTGTAGGAGAGTCGTTGGTGTCGGAGTCGGAGGCGTTGAGATATGAGGGGTTGGTGGCTTCGTCGAAGGGGTTGTTGGGGTTGTGGTTGTGGTCGTTATCGTTTTCGTTATTGTGTTGGGATGTCTGGTCGTCGTCTTCGGTATGGTAGACCGCATCATCCATGGCCATGCTAGAAGGCCGACTTTCCCGCTCAACGATAGAGGCAGTTTCGCAGCGCCAACTAGCTGTGCTGGTGCTGCCGCCGCTTGCCCCTCTGTTCCTCTCTTTTCCTTGTGACAAGTCGACATTGTTACGCCAATTCGCAATGCCAGAATCGTTGTCGTGGCCACCTTCCCTTAGAGCAGGGTGAACGGACCCGTTAATCGTCAAACCATCGCCCTTTTCATCTTTCTTTTCCTCCACCTCCTCCTCCTGCTCCTTCTCCTTCTTATCCACCATCTCTTTCCCCACCCCACCCTCATCCTCACTCCCACCCCCCTCAGTATTACTAAACCACCTCAACTGCCTCAACTTCCCCGCCCCCACCGGCCTGCCCTCCCCCCTCATCTCCCCCCTCTTCCTCTCCATCTTCTTCAGCTCCTCAGCCCACCCGCTCAAATCCTCAATACTGGGTCCTTTGTGCCTAGTCCCACGTTCCTGCGGGCTCATCGTACTAGCCGCGCTGATCGAAGGATTCGCTAGACTAGTGTTGATCCAGAGACTACCTTGTCGGTTACGGCGGGATGCGGAAGAGGAAGGAGTGGCGGTAGCGTTGCTGCGACGGATGCTGTGGGCGTGGGACGGGGGTGGTGTGTAGATGTTTGGGTTGGTGGCGTTGGCGGGGTTGGAGAGGGTGTAGTTGCGTGAGCGGAGTGGTAAGGTGTCGGAGATGGGGTCGTGGGTTGGTTTGATGGGACTGCTGGATGAGCGTTGGGCTAGGCTGATCCTTTCTTCTGTGGCGCTGCTGCGGGCGTTCGAGCTGTTGGTTAGTGTCAAGGTGAGGTCGAGCGTAGAGCTGTTCGACCGCAGGGAACTGGCATCGCCGTCTCCCAGGCTTCGAACGAAGTTACCGTACTCATACCCCTCGTCGCTGCCTTCGCTTTCCCCGTCTGCGGCAATGTCGGCGAAGTACTGGCAATCATCCAAGACCTTGACAGCCCATGCGAGCTTCACCCCCTTCTCACCCACCGCCACCTCCCTACTCTTCCGCCGATCCTTGTTCATCTTGAGTAGATCGCGCTGAGCTTCCAAAATCGTAGTCAACTCCCCTGTCTGCGCATCAAACTGCAGCCAGCTATCCACATCATCCAGTTGGTCTCGCCGGTAAATGCGATATTGTTTCGCGCCGGCTGCTTCGTCATCGGCGTGCGAGTCTAGTTTCTGGGGTAGGGAGGCGTCGATGTATGTCGAAAGAGGTTGATGGAGTTTAAGTGAGCCGAGGGTGACTTGAGCGGCGAGGAAGGTGTCTTTTGGACGCACCATGGAAGGGTGTATGACGTCGTTGTCGCTGTTGAAAGAGCGGCGGAGAGTGTGGCGGCTTGCGCAGACCTTGAGGGCCATTTTGCTGACGGATGTCTTCATTTCCTCATACGTAGCTTTGGCTTCGGCGTCTATGGAAGGAATATTAGGAAGCCATGGCGAAGGTGGAACAGCCGTGACTGGTGTCGTTGGAATCGGTATAGCCGTAACAGGCGTCTTCGGTGAAATCAGTGACTCCCAAAACCCGCCCTCCGCGAAAGAGTTCTTGACAGGCCCAGCAGTAGCCGACCTCGGCGTCCCAGGACCCGAAGACAAGATCTCCCATCGCGGTCGCGGCGTAGTCGGCGACGCGGTCTCGAAGCGCGGAAGGTGTGCTGGCCGAAGTGGATGAGCACCCGTAGGCGCAGTCCATGAAGACGAGCTGTAAAGAAGTAGTTGCCGTCCACCTGGAGTGACGATTGAATGTACAGGCGGAGGAGGAGGAACCCACCCGAGCACCCTCATACAATGTTCCTTCTTAGCCCGCAAGATATCCTTCTTTGCCTGTCGCCATTTCGCCTCGATGAAGCGCTCTTTGTTCCAGTATATGACTTCTTCCCAAAACCGAAGGTGTTGTTCTCTAGTCAGGCTTTTCAGTCCCGCTGCTTCGTGTTGGCTGATTGCCTTGCCGGTGGCGGGCGAGATGGCGCTGTCTTCTTTCGTGAAAACTCGTTCCATTGTGAGGACTCGTTCTGGCATTCTGGACGTATGTGAGTGGGTTTGGAATGTAGATGGGAAACTTTCGTGGGTTGCGACAGGAGTGTTTGGCGGCGTGCTCGGTAATCCCTGTGATCTGGCGAGCAGATTGAGTGTCATAACCTCGCCCGGGTTGTTTGGTCGCGTGAAGGGGACACGGGATTAACTGATCGCAAGAGTTGCGCTCGGCGCAGTGTAGGCAACCGCGTGGGAAAGATTTGCGACTTGATGGGGGAATTCCGTCACATGTCCCTCACTTGCACTGTGAAGAAATCGAGCGGTGTCTTACAACAGAAGTGAAAATTGTCTAGGGTCGAGGGTGCGCTGTGATTGTATTTGTTGCGCGGTGCACTTTCGCGCGCTACGACCATGAGCAAACGCGCAATTCGGGGTGAAACTTACTCGGTGGAGAGAAGCTACCGACCTGGCGCGGTGAGCCCGTTAAGTGATGAAAATGACTGACAATTCGGCGGTGAAAGTGAAACGGGCATGTAAATATAATATTGACCTGTAAATTTTGTCTAGGTGGTATCCAACTCCGCTAATGCGAATGCGACGTCTAGTCTAAGAAAGTAAAAAGGTTTGTATGTACAACATTGAGAGCGCGGTCGGCCTCGCGCTCTTCAATGACACAGGAGATGTTGATCTCGCTGGCGCCTGGTAGATGTTAGCAATGAAGCGGCATTGAGATAGAGAAAGACGTACCCTGAGAAATCATCTCGATGTTGATGTTGTTCTGTCCCAACACGCTGAAGAATCTACCAGAGATACCAATCATGTTCTTCAGCTGCTTACCGACCAAGCTCACAATGGCCATATCAGGCACGATGTCAATGGTGCCGAGCTGGCCAAGGTCGTTGACGGCACCTTGGAGATCCTTGCTCTGGATCTTGTACTCATCCTCACCCCCGCCACTCAGAAGGGCAGACTCGGAATGGAGAGCCATGGACACGTGGACCTCGGAAGAAGAGATGAGGTCGACAGAAAGGTGCCATCGGTCGAGGATGCTGAAGATGTTCATTAAGAAACCATGGGCTCGGGTGCGCTTGTTGCTGTGCACGTTCAGCACGACGATGTTGTGCTTGATGGTGACCGCAGTAGGGCGCTTGGGGCCTTCCAGCTGGGTGAGGAGGCTCGCGGAACGAGTGCGGAACAGCTTCCCGTCTTTCAGGGGCGCACGACCGTCGATGTCCTTCAGGTTATCCGGGAAGATAATGGTACCGGCATTGCGCGGGTTCATCACGTTCTTGATACGGATAGGGATGCGGGCGCGGATGACCTGCTCCATAGTGAAGGGGTGAATGACCTCAGATCCGTAAAAAGTCAGCTCAGCAGCCTCCGAGGGCGTGACGGTGGGGAGAAGGGCGGCCGTAGGGACCTTGCGGGGGTCTGCCGTGAAGATGCCGTCCACCTCCTTCCAGACCTGGAGTTCCTTGGCCTGGGTGCCGACAGCAACCAAAGCAGCGCAGAGATCGGTGTATCCACGTCCAATGGAGTTGAGCAGTCCGCCAGGCACGTTGCCAAAGTATCCGGTGATAACGGGCACCTTGTCGCCGCATGCTGCCACCTCTTTGCCCAGGTCCTCGGCCAGGTCCTTGTAGAACTTGTCGTTGAGCCCGCCCTTGATAGGCGCATGGAGCCTGACAATGTCGCTGAGGTCGACGAACTGGGCCGGGGTGCCGCGATCGTTCAAAATGGCGGCCATGTAGCGACAGCTCAGCTTCTCGCCCTTGCTGATGATCTTGTCCTCGGCGCGGTTCGTGACTTCCTCCAGGTGCTGCGCGGATTCCAGGATCTTGACGAGGCTCTCACACTCGGCATTGACCTCCTCCGTGTACGACGCCAGGATGTCCGGGTTCCTCAGGATGTCCTTGCCGGCCTGGATGTGGTCGGTGCGGATGGCCTCGACGATCTCGTCATAACCGCGGTGGTTGGGCTTTTCGGCAGCGCGGGCGGCACGAAGGAGGCGGTTGGTGGTTCCCTCGAGCTTGGTGTTGCTGCTGCGTGCGGAGCAGACAATGGCGGCGCGGTTCGTCGCAAGACCAGCTCTGTTTACTGTCAGCGCCTTCCATCTGGCGGGGGTTGGGATGGGTCGCACTTGACGATGCCCGCTATGTTCTCCGCAAACTTGCCCACGCTCGTACCCCCGAACTTGAGGACAACCCAGCCTCCAGGGAGGTGCTTCTCTTCCGTGTGAGCTATCCGCTCCGACTCGTGTGTGGTTCCGTTTGTGTATGCAGACATGGTGGTGTTTTGTGGTTTCTCCAAGCAATTGGCGAGGTAAAGTTTCCTAGATGCTGGTATATATCGATGATATATGGAAGACGTGTTATTTTCAATAAATGACGTGTGTTGTGTCGTGTGAAGTCTGGAGCAGCGGAGTGAGGGAATTCTCAATGTCTTTTAGTGGGGCCTGAGTCAGAAAGTCCATGTTCGCGCCCGCAATCGGCGCCGGCGCTGCTGACGCCATGCCAGCGAACCACGACTCCACAACCCAGGAACATGCACACACACACCTCAACGGAACGGATCGGTGCATGCGCATGTCCTCCCGGTAGCCAATGGTGCGCTCGCTATTCAGCTACTGCGCCTTTGTCCGCACCCTTCGCAGCCCACGTCTCAACACCACGTCCTCTGGCGCCTTTGATACCTGACAGCTCATTCCTCTTATCGCGTCCTAGCGCGTCGTCCAAATTACCGTGTCGTCCGCGTCCGACTACGTGCCGGTAGTTGCTCTTCGGCCCATCGGCTATTCGTCCTCTATGTCTTGTGCACCACCTGTGCGACACTCCAGTAATCACGGTATTATCTAGCCATCTCTAGTCAGCGGCGAATTGATCCGAAGATGTCCACGTCCATACATCGGGAACATGAGTCTGGAAATCGGTCGCCCATCAACGATGTTGCGTGAATCAAGATGGATCCCCCGATCAGGCATGATTGCATCAACTACACGAATTTCTATGAGCATAATCTAAGAAGAACCAAATGCCGTCTAACCCGCTTCGCTAGCACTAGTATACTCTAGCAGATCTCGAAAGGTTGCCTCATCCTCAATCTCGAGCGCCCGACTTTGCAGGCTTTCCAATTCCCTCTGGCTGTAGCTACCGCGCGCCAATAATCTACCAACAATCCTTCGATATCCTTTACCAACTGCTTCAGTCAGAGCGTTCCCTATCTCTGCATCGTACTCTAGAAGAAGAGAAACAACAGCGAACTGTCCACACCGTACTGCTGTCTCCAACGCCGGTTTACATGTATCCGCACCATGTCCTAGCAACACCCGAACTACTTCCTCATGTCCGTTCCGACAAGCGCCTAGAAGAGGTCGCTTTTCGTAGTCACTAGACAAACCAAAGCCGTCTACACGGGCACCAAGTGCAAGATAATGCACCGTCATATCCCCCCACCCTTTCCTCGCGCTACGCACTAGGAATGCCGTGTATTCCTCAACACCAAACGTTCTGGTAACGCAGTGTTCTAGTCGCTTCTTGACAAGGAAGTCATAAATCTCCAAACTTGGTGTGTCCAGCGAAGCCAACGCTCGCTCGTTCTGACACCAGTAGGAAGGTCTCTTGGTCTTTCTGTCAAGCATCCACGGACGTTCCACAGCCTGGAAATTCCACAAGAACTGCGTCGTTTCTACACGTCCATGCATGGCGGCCCATTGGAGCAAGCGCATTCGCATGTACTGGAAGTCATAGGGATGCCTCAAGTCCAGCATAGCGGCAAGAACCTCATGACTGCTGAAACTACCAGCGTGGATGCATGCCGAACCAAAGAGCCAACTTGGTTTGTTGAAATGCTTTCCGTGGACGATCCACCTCGCGAGAACAGGGAGTGTCTGTGTGTACAGGGCAGCAATATACACATCGGTGTCCAGATCATTATCATATAAACGCCCGTCATGCCAGTGCTCAGGTAGGTAGGTTTCACGCCAATGCTCAGCTAGGTCGGTTGTCCATAGTTCGTCCAGGCGCTTGAATTCCTGCAACACCAGGGGGCATAGCTGACGAATGTAGTCGTTCTCGTTCCGCTCATCGTCAGTCTCTTGACTGAGACGATTAGCGACGCTGCGAATCCAAAGTAGAACAGGAGCCCCGTCACATCGCTCGTTCAATACCCGGCGCTCAAGATAAGCTATAAACATAGTAGGTGCAGCCTCGTCGCTAAGATGTAGCAGAGGCCGGAACTCGGCATCCAGAAGCTTGTATAGGGCAAGTACCCTCATGATTTCCCCATCGAGAACCTCTATAGCCGCTTGTTAGCAGGAATACCTGCGCACAAGATGCACAGGGAAGCTTACTATTCACAAGCCGTAATCGAAGGCCGCGCTTCGTTCCCCGCACTAAGATCGCCCAGCCAAGGATTTCATGCAAAAGCTCCAACGGCAAATCTAGCAGATGCATGGTGTATAGTATGGCCGGCTTTGTAAACAAAATGGCTACTCGCGACGGAAAGGAGATTTGACAAGCACGTACAGCGTTCAGCGGCTCTTGTTGTTGGAACACATTCGGGCCCGAAAGGCCGCGCTAAGAGGACCCCGGAAACCACTTGATTGGCTACTAGTAGCGGTGCACGTGCGGCGTAAGCTGCTGCCTGCCATCACCGTTCCGACCTGAACAACAACCATGTCGTAGGTGGTTATACAATTACACGCGTCCCATCGTCATGCCATTGCCTGCTCGCATCCTGCTGAGACCCAGCAAATTTCAGCGCACAGTTCCAGAGCCAAGATGCGGCACAGCTCCCAACATGGCCTGTTGGCCAACGATATACGCCTCTTCACAGCTCAGATCTCTGCGCACACACGGCACAGACACCTTCGCAAATCAGATGGCACAGATTGAAGAATCATGCAGGGGAAATCAATCCGTTATGCCGTCTATTGGCACGTCAGTATTTAACATATAGAGCCTGCTGCTGCCGACGCATTGTGATTGAAGTGTTTAGCCTTGACAGATACTCCTCGCTCGAGGGCTCGTAATCCTCACGTCGGTTGCATCTCCTACATCATTACTCTCGTCTACAGATTGCTGTCATGGCAGGTATTGATGATGTTCGCTACACGATATCGACAACCAAACTCGAGGGCCTTCCGACGACCGGTTGGGATACGACAAGTCCTTGGGGCCCACTTACGACTCCATGGACTCTCCCATCTACATGTTCCACCAGCTGGGCATTACGAGGCTACGGCTCTGGTGAATATCTTACACCTATCGTGCCTGCAGCCTGTTTGCCTGGTGCATCGAATATACACAGCCCCGGTACATGCTATGGCGACTACCATATCGTGGCGATGATCGAATGGAGAACACCAGATTGGACGTCAGGGGGTAGTCGCGTGTTTGGCGTCGCTTGTTGTGAAAAGTAGGTACACATGCTGAGCCACAGCGGGTCTCTTCATTATGAGTTGTCTCGTGCTGACACAGAGATTAGTGGCTTCACCAACACATTGACTGATGGTGCCCGGTGCTGGTCAACGTTCTCCACTCCTATGACTGCGTACCCCGTCGGATGGGTACAGTCCAGAAGCCAGGACGTGACCCAGACAGACAATGCCACAGTCCTCGATAGTGGGAGCGTATCCATGTCGCTCATGGAAGCCTACTGGCAGGAATCAGATCTTCCGAACTTCGATCCGGAATATGCGGCTATACTGGCATCGAAATTCAGTATTGACTTCACGCCAACAGGCACAGGCACAGCCGATGCCCCAGCCGAAACAGCGTCGCCACCAGGTCGAAGTCAACTCACCTCAGCCACGTCGACCGTCGAGGCGGACTCTGGAGAAGCTACCGGTCTCAATAGCGGCGCTAAAGCAGGCATTGGCATTGGAGTAGCCTTGGGAGTAATAATACTGTGCGTCGCTGGGTTTTTACTCTACAGGAGACGCGTTCAGAAGGTGAAGCTGGACCGCAAATCTGCTTCACAAAACGAGCAGCCTGAGTTGGTTCAGACACGCGCCGCGTAGTTGGCAGTGTTGTACGGCGTGCGGTAGCTTGCCACCTAATTTAAGGAGACAGCTCTAGCCAGTACACTGGATCCTTACGAACACGGGACGAGATGCGGCACAGGCCCAGGCAACGCCCAACAGCCAATGATTCAATCCCTCCCACGGGCCACCCCAAGCTCTGCCTCATGCGCATATACGGCGTAGTTGTCTCTGCGAATTACACGTCGAGGATCGAATCACCATGCAGGAGACCATGATGCATTTCGCTGCGGATTGGCAACGGCAGCCCGGACGCCACCAATGCGCTGCAATTGAAGTACCCGGCCCTCGCAGATAGTATAGCTCCTCTGTGATTCCGTCTCGAATCTATATCAACTACTCTCGACTTCCTCTGGGAACACAACGTCTCACAGTCGTGATCATGGCAGGCCTCGCAGATGCTGGCCTCACAATCTACACTGTACGATCAGGCGGATTCTTTCCAACAAATGATGAGCTCAATCATTACTCGCCAATTCCGACTTCTTTCACATTTGCGTCGACATGTACCGATCAGTGGATTGTCCAGGACCCATTAACCCCCACAGTCCTCACGAACCCCGTTCCCACATCATGCCTACCTCATAGCACCCAGGCCTACAATAGCCCAGGCACATGTATCAGCAATTACCATATGGTTGCACTGGCCGAGTACAGAACCACAGGTTGGACGTCAGGGGGCTCACGCGCATGGGGTGCTGTTTGTTGTAGGGAGTATGTCCAAAGACCCAGCTATTACAGAGCTACTTCTGCTACCTGAAAACCCAAGCATTTACGCTGACGAAGACGATAGCGGTATGTTGGCGTCAGACGCGACAGCGAGCGTTTGCAGTTCCAGCTTCAGCACACCCGTCACCGCGCTATATCCTTCCAATGGGTACCCCGCCCTCATCAGCGATCCAGCTGGGACAGAGCCAAGAGAGATAAGCAGCGGAGTTCATTTGATGGCCCCAATGATCGTCTACTGGCAAGAAACGGATCTTCCGCACTTCGATCCTGAATATGCGGCGACACTAGCCGCGAGACTAGACATCGACTTCACGCCGACAGCCACGTCCGAAACGGCGCCCCCGTCAGACCGCAGCCAATCCACTTCAGCTACTTCTTCGGCGAACGATGGCGGCGAAAAGTCATCCAGACTGGATCTCAGTATCGGTGCAAAAGCAGGGATAGGCGTCGGCGTCGCCATCGCGGTGATACTAGCGGTTGTCATTGGACTCATGCTGTATAGGAGACGGGTGCGAAAGCAAAGGGCACTCGATCAAACGTTGGCTAGACAAAACGAACAACCTGAACTCGTGCAGACACGCGCTGCATAGCTTCACCTGGCCGATGGCTACATGTTCCGAAGACTTCCATATCCCTACATGGAGATAATGCAGTTGGGTCTCGGCCGGTTGAGCTGATACGGGATGCGCTCTCGTTGATCTGCGCCCATCCGCTGATTCCGACACTCTACAATTGACGGTTCTCTTTTCAGCATTGTCAGTCCCATATTCCAGCGCTGTTATCTATTTCAGATCTGAGTCGGGATTACCTGAACCGCTCAGTGCAGTTCTTTGTCTTGCATCTATCCGCTGCCATATGCGGCGGAATCAGCCTCGATGCTGCGGGAATGCGATGCGGCACAGGTGTGATTACAATACAATGACCAATGGCAGACACTTGCCGCCACTCATACTCCCTGCGCGTATACGGCACAGCTACTCCCGCAGATGACGTTGTATGCAAGGGCCACAAACGCGGTTTGCGACGCGTTGGTACACCGGTATTGGTTAGAGAGGTCGCCATCACCGACGCGTTGTGATTTCAATGGAGGTTCTCTACAAATGCTGCTAATCTAGCTTGATATCACAAAATCGATCTCGTATCCACTCCATCATCACCCCGTCAGTAAGCTGTGCATCATGGCAGGTCTTTTGACTGCTCGCCTTACTATCAAAACGGTATCACCAGGACAATTCTTTCCGACGACATCTTCGAACGCTATAGTCACTTGGCCACCACTCACGACTCCCTTTACGACTCCATCTCATTGCACCAATGAATGGACAATCCTTACCTCGGGTGACACGACTGTCGGGAATGGGCCAGCCAGCAACTGTTTACCTGGCGGAAGCTATACGCACAGTCCGGGTACAGTGCTCAGTGACTACCACATCGTTGACGTAGCTGAGTATAGAACACCGGGGTGGACAGCAGGCGGACTTCGCGCATGGGGTGCCGCCTGTTGTAAAAAGTACGTCGTACCATGAACCTAGGGCACGGCTATATACAAAAGAGTCATGACTTGAGCAAAGCGCACTTTTGCTAACACCGATGGCAGTGGTTGGACGAATACAGAAACCATCGAGGGCTCCTTTTACTGCTTTTCATCGTTCATCACACCCATCACCGCATTGGACCCCTGGGCCGGAACTGGCCGTGAGCATAAAACCACCAATACCGTACTCAGCCGAGGGGAAATAGTAGATCGGAACATGCTTATCTACTGGATGGAATCCGACTTATCCAAATTCGATGCCGAGTACGCATCGGCGTTGGAAGAGAGATTTGCCATCGGCATGAGCGCAGAACCCGCAACTGTTACTGCAGAAAGCACGTCATCTGATTCCTCTTTTACGTCGACTGCAACAATGGCCGTTACGAAAGACACGGCAGCACCGTCAGCTCGAACCAAATTCACCTCGGTAACGTTAACATCGTCGTCATCATCGGTGGCACCACACTCCAAAGAAAAGGCCGATAACTCCGATTTTGGGCTCAACGCTCGCGCTAAGGCTGGCATAGGCTTAGGAACTGCCATCGCGGTAATACTGATGGGTATTGCTGGATTTGTAATGTACAGGAAAAAAGTCTTGAAGCAACGGGCTCTTGATCAAAAGTTCGCTAAACAAAATGAGCAGCCAGAGTGGGTGCAAAAGCAGAGGGCTTAGCCGACAGAATGGATGAGGTACGCTCCCTCTACTGGGAAGCCTTCGGATTTACGATTTGCTATAGGCCGATTGTGTTAGAGATGCTTAGAAGAAAGAGGATGAAAGATTGGTGCTGAGTCCATGTGCACCCCGTACAGGAAAAGGCTCAATAGGCCTGCAGACTACATCAAGATGGAATGATGCAGATTGTGTGACCTAACGTTGATATAGGCTTCCCAGGGTCTTCAGGTTTATCCTGGGTTGACATGCATGGGTGGAGGAAGCTTGTATAATGATGGTGGACATTCTCTCTGCAACGCGTACGCAACACGTATCTACTCTCGATGTATTGCTTGCTAAAATCGTAGTGCACAGCAAGGATTGCGCTTTTCAGGCACGCAAGCGATACCGTATCCCGTAACATTGGCCAATGCCGCATGGAGTAGATCCCTGTGTGCTTTCCCGCCCTTTGCCAATCGCCGTCGACCTATTAGAGCCCAGCAATATCGAACGTACAGTTCCTGGACAAAGACGTGGCACGTCCCTCAACGCCCTCAATCCTGCACACATGTGGCACAGCTCCCTTCACAAATCAGATGCGGCTCATCGAGCCACCACGCATAGGGTAGCGGCGCGCTCTTTTACGCATTTGGAACGTCGCCACCGACCCGTTATGAGCAATGTATCCAGCCCTGGCAAATACTTGACGTGGGCTTATTACAATGTTTCTACGTCCATCCGGGAACTGTTGTCCACAGAGTTGCTATCATGTCATCAAACATCGATGATGCTTCTCTTGCCATCTATACAGTATCAGGAGACCAATATCCGCTAGTAAACACATTCAGTACTGTCCCGCCGCTCACCACTCCCTTCACTTTCAAACCGACATGTACCGAAGGCACGAAGTTTCAGGACCCGGGTCAACCCAGCCGTGTCCACAACTTCATTCCTCTCTACTGTCAGCCCGATACCACCATGACGCATAGCCCGGGCTCATGTGTTAGTGGCTATCAGATAAAGCAGATAGTCGAGTTCCGAACGCCGGATTGGACCTTGGGCGGATTAAGGGCATGGGGAGCTGCTTGTTGTAGAGAGTACGTGTGATCTTTTGGCTGTCGAGGCGATTACCTCGGATTACACCTGGCCTGGTCTTGACTGGGATTGCTCCCGCTAACACCCTCGATAGTGATTATATGGCAACGGCATCCGACGCAACAGAGTGTGTATCAGCCATAGATACGCCCATCACCGCGTATACTGTGGCGGACGCGACCTTGCCAACGAATGCCGCTGGGCAAGAAATACCCGAGAAACCCTCCATTATCTCCAGCGGAACGGTCATCATGCAACCGATGTTGGTCTACTGGCAAGAGTCAGACCTCGTCCACTTCGATTCCGACTACGCGTCTACACTGGCTTCGAAATTCGATATCGGCTTTGCAGCAATGGAAACTCCGGGTCCAGCAACAGAAAGACCAAGACTAACGACAGTATCACCGCAATCAGACTCCACAAAAGGAACAGCATCACCGCTAGATCAAATCCAAGCCCCGTCGGCAACGTCGTCACGACCTGCAACAGCCTCCGCAGCACCGACTAGCCCCTCGAAACCAGGCCTCAGTACAGGCGCCAAAGCAGGCATAGGATCAGCCGCAGTCGTTGCAGCAATACTACTATTAGTCGCCATTGGATTCGTACTATATAAGAGATGGCTCCATAACAAGGCAGGACTAGACGGGAAAGCTGCTGAATTGAATGAACAGCCGGAGTTTTTGGATGCGGATCTGGTGCGTTGGAGAAGAGACAAGGGAACGGGGTTGTGAGCGCGGTTAATATGGATGTGCACGGGTTACGACGCAGAAGTGAGGGGATGCGATATTGCCAGCGAGACCATGCGGAAGGTGGTCGGCGGGGCTTCTTCGCGAGCTGGGTTGAGATGGAGACGTAATGACATACAGGCGCACATAAATAATCCCACTTCTAGTCGCATCTTGCGCGTTTCGGGATATGACCATGTTGATAAATTGGTACAGAAAGTTGCGCCTTGAGTTTTGTCTTCCTTCATGTTTGGTCGGAACGTAGCTGCGTCATCTGATCAGGAGCCATGCCAACATCTGTCTCGATGTCAAAGCAACAGCAGCTCACCAACCACGTCACCAAGCCCATTGAACCATGCCCGCAGCCACGTGAGACCATGAAAGGCGTCGAATAGCGTGGCATGCATCACCCGCAGCCGTTTAGCGCGCTGATCTCCCGTCGCGGCGAGCGCATCTCCTGATTGGCTAATTTGATACTTCGCATTCGGCGTTCTCATTCGCATAGAATCGAAGCACAACGGGCGTTTTGTAATTCTCGCTGACCATTGTTGTGTTGAAGGTGCTGACTATGCACACGATTTGGTGATATCGTCTACGTCATCACACGCCTAAACTAAACCGCATTGAGCGCACTACGAGACACCTTCAGAAAGCGCGAACGACATGGGCTGGAAGCCGTGGAAGCCGCGATACGTAGCTTCAAAACACAGCCCTGGAGAATTTGAAGGCAATCGCTTCGTTTCCATAGCAGAGAAGCTTCCCTACCCTTACGGCACAGCTGCCTTACTTGTGATTTTCAGCTGCCCACCATGAACTACATCTCAAGTACAACACCCCAGCCACCACAATCCCACCACCCCAAACTAACACACCAGACCTCGTGAACTCGGACGACATCATCAACCCCCTCATCGACAATGGATACCTCCCCCACTCGGTCATTCGCGTCGGTATCCGGCGCCAACTCGCTGACCGCCTCACGTCTATCGCCAACACATCCCTCCAGGCGAGCTATGAGTCCAAGATGAAATACGTGGAGCTACTCCGCGAACGACCCATTGCCATTGAGACCAAAACAGCAAATGAGCAGCATTATGAAGTCGGAACCAGTGTGCTGAAGGGTATGCTGGGGCCGCGGATGAAGTACTCGGCGTGTTTGTATGAGAAAGGTGGGGAAACGTTGGGGGAGGCGGAGGTGAGGATGATGGAAACGTATGTGCAGAGGGCAGGGTTGAAGGATGGGATGACGGTTTTGGATTTAGGGTGAGTTCGCATCCTCTTCGTCCTCTTCTCCATGATTTCCGTGTCTTCCGAACCAGATCTCGAAGACGGCATACTACGGACATGATATATCACGTGCACCACTAACACCCCCAATCCACAGTTGCGGCTGGGGCTCCCTCTCCCTCTACCTCGCCGAAATCTTCCCCAACAGCCGCATAACCGGCTTCTCCAACTCGCGCACCCAGAAACAACACATCGACTCCGTCGCCGCCGCTAAAGGCTTCAAGAACCTCACGGTTGTAACCGGCGACGTGGTAGACCATGAATTCGACCCCGAAGTCTACGACCGCGTCCTCTCCATCGAACTCTTCGAACACATGAAGAACTATTCTTTGTTGATGGCCAAAGTAAGCCGGGCCTTGAAACCAGGCGGCAAACTCTTCGTGCACATCTTCGCGCACAAGGACACACCGTATGATTTCGAAGGCGGGTGGATGACGGAGCATTTCTTCACGGGAGGAACGATGCCTTCCGCCGACCTCCTTCTCTTCTTCCAGGACGACCTCAAGATTAAGAGACAGTGGTGGGTTAGCGGTATGCACTACAGTAAGACGTGTGAGGATTGGTTGACGACCATGTTGAGCAATAAAGAGAGTATTTGGAAGGGGCTTGTGGAGACGTATGGTGAGGAGGGGGCGTTGACGTGGTGGAATAGGTGGCAGGTTTTCTATCTTGCTTGTTCGGAGTTGTTTAGGTGGGATGGGGGTGATACGTGGGGGGTTAGTCATTATTTGTTTGAGAAGAAGGAGTAGGTTGGTGGAGGTGGGGAGATGGGGTGGGGGTTGGGAGGGATGGTAGGAGGGTAATGCTTAATTCCACTCTATATCATGTCTTGATCGGTATATGCTGTCGTGATTCGCGTAATTGTCTTTGAGTCTCTATTCTCATAGCAGTACTCTTGTTCTGCCCAGGTACTAGCTGGCACTTGCTAGATGGAATGTGCCGGATAAAGATATACGGCATCACCACTTACCCCTCCCGAGGTCTCTAACAACATCACATCTTCACCTTTAAACTGCGTAACCACACATCGAATAATCCTACGCCTACTTTGTTACAACTCCACGCCCATAAAGCTAATCGCCACCAAGCAAGCCACCCCTCAAATCAAGCTGGCAGGCCCAGATTCCCCGGAAAAGACAATCTACAAATACCATGACGAAACCCTCCCTCCCATCCAAAATGCTCGCCGCACAAGTCATCTCCTTCAACGAACCCTACAAGGTGCACAAAATTCCCGTTCCAGCAGACCTCGCACCGCACGACCTCCTCATCAAAGTCGCCGTCGCCTCCCTCTGTCACACAGACTTCATGGTCTCTTCAGGCGCAATGGGCACACCACTTCCCTGCACCGGCTCCCACGAGGGCGCAGGCACCGTCGTAGCGACTGGCACGTCTGTAAGTCAGTTCGCAGTCGGCGACCGCGTGATGGCCGGGATCTTGTATGATGCCTGCGGTACATGCGCCGAGTGCACAGGAGGACCACACGCATCGGCATGTCCTCAGTACTGTCAGAACACTGGGGGCTTTCTTGGTATAACGACAGATGGTTTTTTCGCCGAGTACGCGAGGGTTGATGCGAGACAGACTGCGAAGATACCGAGGAATGTTTCTTTTCTTACTGCGGCGCCGCTGGCTTGTGCGGGTGTGACGGTTTATCGCGGTATCGTCCTGTCAGCTGTGCGGAAGGGAGACTGGATTGCTGTTGTGGGAAGTGGAGGCGGGTTGGGCCATCTTGGGGTGAAGTTTGCAAAAGCCATGGGGGTTAATGTTGTTGGGATTGATGCGAGGGATGAGGGGTTGGAACTAACGCGGCTGTGTGGTGCGGATGTTACTGTTGATGCTAGGATTGGGACGGAAGAGGTTGTCAAGGCTGTGCGTGCTTGTACGGGGAATGAGGGGGTGAAGGCTACGCTGAATGTTAGTGATGCGAAAGAGTCGGCGGCGTTGGCTTGTGCGGTGACGAAGATGCATGGGACGATGATACAGCTTGCGCAGCCGGATGGCGTAGTTATTCCGTTTCATGAACTCATTTTGAGGGATATTAGGGTTAGAGGGTCGGCTGTTGCTAACTTGGATGAGGCGCGGGATATGCTGGATTTGGTTGCTGAGCATGGTATTACGGTGCAGACGAGTTCGTTTCAGGGGCTGGGCGAGATTGAGAAGTTGGTAGAGCTGGCGGATAGCGGGAAGATGAAGGGAAAGGGTGTTGTCATCATGGATCAAGAGCAGATTGAGAGGGAGAAGAATGTAAAATCGGCGTTGTAGGGAGATGCATGGCCAGTACCCCTCATGCTTACAATCTACAATGTAGACGTCGTAGATGCGCTTGTTTTGGAAACGTCATACCTGGGTATTCTCATCAGGAGGAGTCGCGGCACGACAAGGGCCGAAAACGTTGGAGAAGGGTAGATGTGGGGTCTTCTCCGCAATGTGGGGAACGACACCTTCACGCATGTCAACTAGCGTTTCGGCACCCATGTCTTCACCCAGCCGAGAAGGCTTGTTCCTGCAGGATACATTAATAAAGAAACATCGTGGAAGTCTGGGTCTAGTCTTTGCAATACACATCTTACAATTTTCACAATGACACCATCGCCAATGTACATCGACCCGGAATATCAGTCCACACATTTCAACCTCTTTAAAGACTCTATCACCGTTCCGCTCAAGTTCGTGCTGCCACCTGGTGTTGACCAAAATGCCTTTGACAAGGCGATCGCAAAATACAAGGGCGTTGTTGGTGATGCGCAGGTGTATACAGGTGATGCACTGACCGAGTACATCGATCCGTACGAGTTGCACGAGGCGGAAGGAACCCGCAAGATGCCCAGCGCGGCCGTACGACCAAAAAGCATCGAGGAACTACGACATGTGTTGAAGATTTCGAACGAGTTTGGCATCCCAGTGTGGACGTTCTCACGAGGAAAGAATCTCGGGTGAGTTCATTCCCACGTACAAACCAGCTCCATTCCATCTAACTACCGAACAGATACGGTGGACCAGCCCCTCGCGTAACCGGCTGCGTAGCCCTCGACCTCCACCGCATGGACAAGATCATCGAAGTAAACTCCGAATACGCGTACGCCGTCGTCGAACCCGGTGTCACATTCACCGATCTCTACGACTACTGCGTCAAGAACAAGCTCAAAGTCTGGCCCTCAGTGCCCTCTCTCGGATGGGGCTCAGTCATCGGAAACACAATCGATCGCGGCACAGGCTTCACGCCCACGGGAACGCACCATCAACACATCGCCGGCGTTGAAGCCATGCTGGCAAACGGCGAGCTCGTGCGAACAGGCCAATTCGCCATGTCCAACTCCCCATCCGCACACCTCTCCAAGTTCTCATTCGGACCCAGCATCGAAGGTCTGTTCCTGCAGTCCAATCTCGGCATCGTGACTAAACTGGGTATCTGGCTCACACCCGCGCCTCAAGCTTTCATGTCCTGCTCATTCGACATGCCAGATTTCGAAGACGTGGAAACGATTGTCGATATCTTCGGGCCGTTGCGACGCGATGGTCTGCTTCCCAACACCGTCTACGTGTCCAATGTGACGGAATGGCTGGGCATGATGGGCCCGAGAGAAGACTTCTGGCCACACGATACTTCGATACCGGATTGGAGGATCAAGGAGTTGCAGAAGCAGTTTGATCTGGGGTACTGGAACGCCAAGTTCGGTCTGTATGGCGCGAAGGATGTGATTCAAGCGCATTTCGACGAGCTGAAGAAGATTATTGGGAAGAAAGCGCCAAAAGGTCGGTTGGTTGGTAAGATCTTCTCTGCGCCGGATGGAGAGACGCTGGATCCTACGTCTGTTCCTGAGATGGATGGTGGGTTCTTTGTTGGCATACCGACGCTCTGGTCGCTTCCTATGGTGAAGTTCCGCCTACCCAAGTCCGGGGGTGGTATTGGTGCGCATTACGATTACAGCCCTATCATTCCTTCCAAAGGGAAAGAGATTCTGGACTGGGTCAGGACGGCGAAGAAGATCTGCGAGGCGGATAACTTTGATCTGTTCTGTGACTTCTTTATGCATGAGCGTCATGGTAAGATCGGACTATTCAGCGCTGAATGATGACATGTACTGACATCGATACCCTTATCTAGTCATCTTCGTTAACATGTTCACGTTTGACAAGACAAACGCGATGCATCGGAAAGCGGTGCAGAACATCTTTGATGGCCTGTTTGAGGCGGGGAAGAAGAGGGGATACAGCAAGTATCGCAGCCACGTCAACACCATGGGTATGTTTTGGGCCTTCTTACTTGGAAGTAGCCGTGCGCAGTCGCTAATTTCTATCCAGATCGTGTCGCGTCATTGTACGACTTCAACGATCATGCGTATCGAAGGTTCGTCGAGACGATCAAGGATGCTGTCGACCCTAATGGTATACTTTCGCCTGGAAAGCAAGGTATTTGGCCAAAGCGGTTCCGGGGGGATGAGGTATCAAAGGCGCATCTATGAGTTGCGATATCTGAGTGGATGCTGGAAGTATGTATATTAGTGCTTGAACCTGGAAGTAGATAGCTTGGGAAAGTATCGGTGTAGGCAGCTTAGTCTCTCATTCGACATGTCATGGCGACGCACGATGGTTCGGCCACCGAGACGTTGCCCGTTAAACTCGCTCGAAGCGTGGACGAAGGCAAGACCATAGCAGCCAAATGCGTGTTTATGCTCGAAGTCCGATCAACGGGAGCTGCGATGTGCCTGATCATCTCAGAAGATCGTTCAGGCACAGCGTCCACTGCACATCAGAGCTCGGATCGTTACTACAACGAGCACAGAGTATGAACTGACGAAGTATGTATGTCCAATTATAGTCCTACACATCCACAGAAGAATATGGGTAGGGTGGAGAAGACACGGCTCTGCTAAAAACCAATATTAATCTCCCACAGAGAGAAAAGTTGCTTCCTGGCCATGAAGACGAGCCAGGGAGCAGGCAAGAGTGGGGTAGTGGCATACAACGCGCACAGCAGCGACGACTCTCAGAACGACAAACATTGATCATTCGGTGTCGAGCACGTGCCGCAAGCTGTGCATCGCGAGGTTGTTGATGAGCAGAAGAACGAGCCAGAGCTTGGTTTTACGTGTGAAGAATTTAGCCCGCTCGGACCCCCGTCTTTGTCAGCATGGCTTGGCGCTGCCCGCGCGCCTGAAAACCTCGTCGCAGCTCGGCCTCAGCTTTCCTTCCATATTCACAAAATCACAATGGACGATTAATCAACGGCTATACTGAGCTCTTCATCTCTATAGTTGTCATATTTGCGTCACTAGAACAATACCTGGCACTTTTAGGCTTTTTGCTACGATTTCTATGTTGCTTGAAGCCACCTGCGTGACCATACATTCTTTTGAACAGCGCTGAAGTGTTGAATGTGCTCTTCTGTGTGTGCTTTGCGTATGCTCGTGTGCTTTTGACTAGCTAGGAAGATTCCTTCTCTAGAGTACCGGGGAGCTGACGACGGCAATGTCTGTCAGCCTTGGATCGTATCTGCGGCAACGAAGACGGCGGCCTCGGCCTTACCAAAACCAGATCGGCAGCGTCTACGAGTCGCGCCACCAAGCCTGCACGTCGTTCATGCGCTGTCGTAAGCTGTTCCACGCCCATCGGGTTGGGAGGACGATGATGTACTTTTGGGCGGAGGGCAGCAAGCTCAGACAGGGGCATGATGCCGTATATAGACCAAAAACGCAGGGTTCTGGAGCTTGTGCGGATGCCATGTGTGAAGTGGAACGGATGCATT